AAAATGTTTCCAAAGTGGTTCGTATGTTGCACCAGTCAAAGTCAAGGTCGATTCACACCTTCCCGTTCGCGGTCGTCTGTCGAACGCAATTTCCTCTGATATTCCATATCCGCCATCGCCAGACCCTCGTTCATTTCACTTAGTTTCCCCATCCTTGGGATCAAGTTAAACTGTTATTTGCCAGTTATCACCAATCCGTACTGTTTGATCAATCTCATTCATCTGATGTGTAGGGAAAGGATAATTTGAGATGTACTGCGATAAAATCTCAGGTAGTTGAACCAGAAGTCTCGTTTTCTCCAGCGCAATTCAAATTCAAATTTTTATCATGGGAAAAAAACTTACAAAGACTTCGCTTATCAAATCTCATAGGGTGTTTACACTTTGGTTCGGAACACGATTCACAAGATCACAGTTAGTCCATGAAAGTAAAATAGTAATGTAATGTTTTTGACGAGCACAGGAGAATATATTATGTAGTTGGGTGTTGAAACATGATGTTTGCCAGAGCATCATCAAGCAACTCAAGTCTGCGCGAATGACTACTCCCAGATCCTTATCGGATGGAGCATGAGGCAGAGTTTTGTGTCCGAGAGTGTAGGAATAACGACTACTGTGATAAGTGATAAAACTTTACATTTGGTAACGTTGAATTCCATATAATTAGATACAGACCATCTGTGGTCTTCGTCAATGGCGTTCTGGAGATCAAATGAATCTTCTGGTTTTGTTATTGTCCTCCATATTTTGGCATCGTCTGCAAACAGCAACGTTTGTGGTCCGAGGACGTCTGGAAGATCATTTATAAAGGCAAAGGAAAGACATGGGCCTGGTACAGATCCCTATGGAACCCCACGGTTGACATCTATTTGATCAGAAAGTGAGTGAATCGGAAACACGAACTGACATGATACGTAGGCAAAGAAACTCCTTAATTCAGCCAAGTAAGAGTCCACGGATTCCATAATTATACAGCTTCCGTATCAGTATTTGATGATTTATTCTATCATATGCTTTATTTCTTTTTCATTCTCACATAACGCAACTGCACAGTCTTCGTAAATGCCATGATAACTGATTTTCCCACCGAAAATGGGTGTGCTAATAAAGTGTATTTTCGAGTCGACTTGCTGTTCAACATCTCCGTCCCATGGCTTGTGGTTTCGATTCTACAGTTTGAATCGGTGCCAGTGTGTTTAATCTGACCTTTGGGCTGTTTAGAAAAATTTCTGCTCGAGAAGGCGAATTAATTGTCTGGTCGGAATAAACAAAAATTGATCTCTCAAGGTCATGTACTGAATCCCACCAATAGGGCGGTACACTAGCCACTTAGGGTGTACGAGCAGAGTGAATGGATGAGTAAACGTCTTTGGGAAACCACGTGGAAGATTGATATGTTCAAGCTGGAAGTTGGATTTGGTGTATCCAATGTCTGAAACAATCGGTTGGTTCCCTCAAGAATGCAGGTATGAAATTATCGCATCTCGAAAAAGCGTACCGAGGATTATGTTCACGTGAAGTGGATTGTGACGGTTGCTACTTTGCATATTATTAAGATATCCTCTCTGGGGGGGGGGAGTATCACAACACGAAGAATACTTATGTACGGAGCTATTTCCAGGCACCGGAATTAGCATAAGATAGACAGATAAATAGAGAGAGAGATCATATATGTGATTAGACCAATGTGCTGATTTCGCCACGACTATGGGCACTTCTGAGAGTGACACCTTTTCGCTTTTTGTTTAACCGGGGTATTGTTTGATCGCGTTGTGTAATCTGCATCGAATCTACTGTACCGTTAAATGCATTTCAAGTGAATTTTGTGAAACGTTCATAACTTTCGTTGTAATCACTATATACATATACAGGTATTGACCAGACTGGTTCAACACCCTGACTTTCATCACATTTGTTCCTTGCAACGCTTAGCTTTACCGGCTTCATTCACGAGGTTGAATATGACAGTGCCGCCTATCAGATAAAACATATTCATAATAGTATCCACCTATGCTTTTGCTTCTGTTAGTTGAAAGACAATGAAATGTACGATTTCTCGATTTTGACAGCGGTTGCTGGTGCATCAATCATAAAATAACAAAACCACTGTAAAAAACCTAACTAGAACTCATTTATCNCTGCATGCTAATAGCTCACAATTTATGTCTAAAAGTTGTCACGGGGGGGGGATGAGGAACCATGACAAAAGAAGAAGAGAAATAATCAACATTTCATCTCCATGACCGGATGTTGCTCACACTTTGGTCATCGCACATGCGCATTGGTTCGAGTCATTAGGGGCGGCAGTGGGGGAAATGACTCTATCGTGTGTGGTGTTCATCATGGAAGAACGAGAGTACTTATGAATTGTTTTTGGGAGCATATATGGGGGGGGGGCGAAAATTATGTAGGCGGATTCTGATCCCTTCCGCTGTGGCCAGAATGCGACTCCTAATCAGGCCCCTCAGATTGATGACTGCGAACTAAGTCGAAACGCCTCGACCACATCAATCACGTGGTTTGACTCCATTAGGTGTGAAACAACAATTGAACTGTTGATGGTCCTAATCACTTCACTATCCAGCCCGGCCGGGTGGTGCTCGTGGCCTCGTTCAGATGAATGTCTGCTCGTACGGTCAATATAATTTGTCCCCCAGGAACAAGTGAACAGGTACACACAGGCTGTACAATTTATTTATCGAAATGACCCATAGCCTTTAACAGGTATTGTACTTTCATCTCTTCCATATTCTATTTGTCCTTCTTCAATTTTGAGCACTGAAGACAGTCGCTTGAGTACGGACTCCACTAATTTGATGATTCAACGGAATTCACCAGTTTTTTCCAATATATGCTGCACCTCAACCACTGACGACCACTATCGAGGTAGCTAATTTATCCTTGTCCGTAACACAGGGAAAAGTTTTAGATTACATTTAAATCCCAACTACTGGGCGATAATTGAATGAATCCGAACATTGGTCTTGACGATTATTCAACGAGTAGCGCACCTCAACCTTAGAAAGTCAACTTGTATGTTTCTTGGAATATATTCACAGTTCTTTCAGTAGTGGAGATAATGTGCAGGTAGTTGGTAACCAAATAATTTATCAATTTATTTAAGCTAGACTATTTCCTTTCAATGACTTATTTACTGTGCACTGAATGAAAAGAGATGAACAAGTTAGAATAAGTGTGTTCAACTTAAGAAACACTCTTATGTAACAAGAATCATTCATTAAAAAGAATGAATTTCCGTGATGCTTTGCATTAAATAGTTTCCAAATCTGGGCTGCAACTTTCGAACCAATAAAAATTTTATTGCGACACTCAAGGTCGGAGAAGTTCAAACGGTAATAGAAGAGAACTAAGCAGAAAGAAACGGTAGATAAAGTCAGGAATACAGACACTTTACCCATACCATCAATATGTAAGAATGATATTGCAAACTGAAATGTATTTCCAAAATGAGATTGATATTGCACGAGTTTGGTCAACACCTGTATATAGCCACAATTAGTTGTATCGAGACAAGTTGATTGCCAGAAACACCGAGCAGAACGACTGCCCAATTAATCAGGATTTCAACACCGCTGGCATTCAGCACAAAGGGTACAACAGGTAGGATCCACCTGTTCCGAGCACAACTTGTATCGTCCAGATGGAAAAAAACAAGGAAGTCAAGATAGGGATGCGTAATCGGGAGTGAGCTATCATGTTCACCGTTGTTTGTTTTTCGTGGGCTCGAGAAAAGTGCACACCGATCAGATGAAACGTAATATCCGTTTAGACACAGCCTAAATCCCAATTCAGCGCGTGACTGACGAGGGATAGATTTTTAGACACTTCCAAAAGGTGCATGTGCAAAACTTCACGTCCTTAGCCAAACTAACTGAGATAGATCTGGTTTGAAATGAGAGTCGATGAAGCAATTTTTTGGAAAACGAGGCAGACAGTCAGACAGCTAGAATGGTATTCAAAAACAAAAATCGGCGGTTAATAAACTGGCATCGAATGCCACTGTACGGGAGCTTCTAAAGATGGCTTACTTTCTTTGCGAAAGAAATTACTCAGCGGCGAGCGCTTCTTGTGTTGCTATCAGCGACCTATTACCAATATTTTACCGTCGTAACCAAAAATACCCCGGTCCCTGCACTCCGAATATAACCGATTCCACGAGCTGATTGTCCCCGATTTATTTCTTAAGCAAAATCACGTGATGTAGATGCCCAACGTCCACAAGGTTTGGGTAAGCACATTTGTTTGGGATGCCTTTTGCAATATAGACCACAGGATTTATCACAAAAGTGAATAAAATCGGCAAAGCCTTAATAAGTACTAATTCGAACCCCAACAAAGCATTCAAAACCCGCATTAAAATTTGAAAACTGGTAAATGGGAACATAAAATAGTCATTTTACCCCGTTCACCTAGTTCAAAATGTGAACTTGCTAGAAAGAAAAGAAACAACCAAACACGCACATCGAGACGGTAGTCCGTTATCAAACTCACCAGTTCCTCGTTCATCAGTTTTAACAATTCCTCGTAACGCTCCACCAGACGTTCGAGCAAAAAGAATCGCCGCTTGATTAGATAATCCGCTGATGGACTGGCTGACTTGTTTGTTCCCGGCAAATAGTGAGGTGTGCCGGTGGTCATTTTGTCTGGCAACAGAGAATCGTTGGTTATCAACATGGCTTGATTCGAAAACTCTTCCGAGGGCCCAGTGCAATTCGTGAATGAAGTCGCTGTCGGCCTGGTGCACGCCGAATGCTCCTCACGCGTGATGGGCTGTTGAGTGACGGGGGCCAGAGTCGGAGCAAGGGCAGGTTCACTGTTCGCTGACCCACTCAGACCGAGGACCCGACGAAACGATCCCAACTGTGGAATTGGTTTGAGTAATTTTGTCGAACCGTCTGGTCCATCCAAACTATCCAAGTAGTCAGCCAATGTGATACGACCGGGGCCACCACCACCACCGCCTCCAGCTGCACTCGTGTGACAGTGCGTGTGTATGTGTGTGTTTGTGTGGAGTCCAATTCGTGGGCGGGTGTGGAGGTGCAAGCGAGTGTATGCACGGATGTATAAA